CATCTAAACATATCTATCATGGTACAGTTTGTGCATCTCTACTACATTTCATTAGCAAATTTGCTCACTAAAATTGTGATCATGACTGCTTGTTGTGCAACATTTGTACTGCTTCAGGTTTTTGCTTGAGTGTTTTATCTACATGCAGCTCTTTCCTTTCAGCCACAGTAGCTTTAACCTGAAAAGATTTTGTGTACCTTGTGTTTGGTAGCCCACCCTGTGCGTAACCTTGTGGGTGAGGCAAGTCAACCAAATGAAAATCTGTAAAATTCAGTATATGAGCTAAAACTGAACAGTTTTTTTTTGTTTGTTTTTTCTTTTAACCTTATCTAGAATACTGTACCAGTACTGGCACAGTTCTGCCCAAGCGTTTACTTCCAGTTTTTTATACATCATTTTTATGCGTTAAATTGTCCAGCAGTAAGATGACGCAGTATGCTTTTAGAAAGCTTGAAATCTCAGGATTGGATTCATCTTAACCATTTTATGATCTGTTATTCACAGCCGTTATTAACGTCTCATTTTCAACATAAGCACCGAATGAGCAAACGCTAGCAAATCTGTGAGTCCTTACCTTCAAAGCGTTGCTGCTGTCCACAGACATCATAATCCAAAACATGTGGTCCTGATAACAGGGCAAGAGTCAGTGGTCAGTTCATAAAGAAGTGGTCAGTTCACCAGCCAGACATAAACTCCTCCATTCTAGCTTCTCTTACTCTGTCAGTAATTCATACAATTATTCTGACAGTTGGGGAAAAACTTGAAAGTGTTACCTTTCAAATGAGACCAAGATCATGACTGTAGCCCAAAATATGTGGGCCCAAAATAGGGTGACAATTAACAGGGTTTAAATTTGCCGTATTAGCTAGACTTTATTAACTAACTAGGGCTGGGTGTTCTTAGTCCTTCTAGAACACTGAACAAACAGCAACAACCAGTGAATAGTAAAGGCATTGGAACAAGTAGCTGATTAGATGTGTTATGCCATCTTTTTATCTTCGCTAATTGTTTTCCACCTGTTCCCTCTTAACACTTATACACTGCTGTGCATATTTTAAAGTGACTGCCAAAAGTTGATTGATTGTCATACAAAGATTTAGTGAATTATGTTAAATACTTCAGAGTTCAGCAGAAAAGTTGAATGCTGAATGATTCCTTTACAACTTGTGGCTAACTTTCAATGGTCTAAGCAACATAGGCTACATAGGCTCATTTTAATGTTTGGTTTGTCCGGCACTTACTTGGACAAGCTACTAAAACTTTGCGTTTCACTTCATCGATGTCATCGCTTTGGTTCTAGTAGCTGTAGGAATAACAATGCAGTATACCCTCATTTTTGAGCTGCTTAACCCTGCAGAATATCCAGGGAAGAACAAAGCTTCGAGCGCCCCCATAGGCTCTTATAAAAAGTGCCTATGAAGACCATGCAATTACATTTACATTGTTACCTGAAAAAAGCATCCCAGAGATGTGTAAATGATCCCTACATGTAATTTAGATTCTGCAGATTCCATAGAAATGCAATGCTAACATACTGCAGTCAGAAATAGACCCACTCTAAGCTTAAATATAAAAGCAGCAAAATATTCCTGCCCAGGAATGGCTTGGGGCTCCAGACTTTACATAGTTCATTTATATAAAATTCAGAAAATCATTATATGTATTATAAGCTTTTTTACATGTAGCACTGCTGTTGTGCCGGTACAATTTTTCTGATCCAAGTTGTTCATTAATCTCAGAAAAACTAAATCATAATTAATGTTGTGTAACATGAAAAATATTAAATATTGTGATGTTTTTTTTTGTCCACTACACATAAATGGAACTGAGATCAGCTCTGTTTTTTTTCAAGGTTTCTATTTAAATGTGGGTGAATAAAATATATCCAAACGTTTGTTAAGTCAGCAGCACTTGGAGTCATTAGGAAACTGTGTAAATGGTTTCTTAAACACGGTGTATGGACTGAGGCTGTAATTATGGGTTACTGTTTAAAACACAAAGATCCTTTAGTATTGGCATGGCTAAGTAACAGATGCTGCGCTGAGTTCATTCTGTTCCTGTGGCCATACAATGCTTGTAGTTCATGTTTTCATTTGATGATTGTGTCCTTTTCTGTTTCTATTTCTTTCTGTCATTGTGTTGTATCAGATCAACCTAATCTCTGTCTGCCACATCTGTATTGTAGGGTCGATTATCACGGACAACATGCCAACTTTTCATGAATGGACTCATTTATGAACACTTAGACTCACTTATAATTAAAGTGAATGAGAAGCTGCTGAATTCCATGCATAAGCATTTGGAATATGTAACTATATAATATGGATTCAATTCTATGATTATTTCACTCATGATTGTAACAATACAAGTCATAGGATAAGACAGACATGAGAGAGAGTCTTATCAGAACTGTTTTTGTGAAGCTTTATTCAGGTCTTCATTCAGCTGGAGCAATTCCTGTTACTTCTTAACTCAGCTAAAAGTGAGGTTTTTTTCATACTGCACTCAAATTGAAGTAGTTGCAGTTCTCACACATTCCTATTGGGGCCGCTTTAAGCCAGTTAAAGCAAAGATTATATATTAGGTAAAACAAGATGGCGCATGCCTAATAAAGTGAATAGTGCACAAAGGAGTTCAATTGCTGTCCCCAGTTGCCCTGCCTCCGTCTCCCAGGGCTCACCTGAAAATGCATGTTTTGGCTCAAAATGCTCACAAGACAGTTCTCTGACAGTTACAAAAATGGCCACAACATCATTGTAATCTTAAAGGGGGGACATACAATCACTAAAGTTTGGTGAAATGGGCAGAATTTCCCACTGGTGTGATTTTTTTTTTTCACTTTCTGATCACTGTGAATGAATATGAACATGGTAGCTAATATTGCTAACTGAAAGAAGAGACAGAGTGGAAACTGTTCAGACTGTATTCTCTAGTATGAAAGGGGGAAAAGCCAGTCATAGTTGTGATTATGCCATATTGGAATTTGTAAATGATAGTTAGGAGATTTGTCTTTTTTATACAGAGTAGGGGTGCAACGATTATTCGACTTAGTCGACTAAAATCGAAGACCAAGCTATTTAAGTAGTCGATTAGTTGGTGACGTCATTACGCGTCTTTCTCGCGCTCACTAGGAGAGGTTTGACATTGCCGCTCACTAGAGACTTAACAGCGCGATGGCTGCCTCAAGAACAAACCCCTCAAAAGTGTGGAGCTAAACCCAACCCGCATACTAGCACACTAAATAGTGTATAAAATAGCGCATATACCATTAGAAGTGCACTTATTAGTGTAGTACGTGAAGTACAGAAGTGTGTGGTTTGGGACGCGGCGATAGTTGTGCTAGCGGGCTAACCTAGTTAGCTAATGTTAACGCTAAAAGCCGTCCTACTTCAAAGCTGTGAACTGAGCTGTAACATTTGATATTTCGAAATGCATTTTCTCTGGAATTGTTAACGGAGTTGGAACAGAGAAGCATGTAACTGTTATTCACAGCGACCCTGTTCACTTTCCAGATAACGTTCACAGTTTTAAACACTGCATCGTCATCTAAACGTCGAGGCCGCCGGTGCGGTCAGATTCGGCGGACACAGAGAGCGTTTATGAACAGTTTACTGTTCTCCGCGAACGTTTAGCTCCACTTGCTAACGGTTTAAGGAGGTAGTTCTCCGTGAACACACAGGGTAGCTGGACAAAGGGTTACCGAAATGAAGCGTTTACACAAAATCGTTCAAATTTAACTGTTCATAGAGAAGTTTCCCACAAACGTTCGCGATTTTCCCATCCGCGCCATCAGAGCGCATCTTCCCTGCTGAGGTGAATATCCGCTCTTAGAGGAGAGCGAGACTCTCACACGAGCACGGAGAGACGCGGACTTTCCTCCGTTTCAATAAAGACCTGTGATTGTACAGTTTAGTTTCAGCAGAGTGTAGACAGACAACAGAATGCACAGATCACAGACTGCACTGTTTATATTTAACATTTAAATTGAATTTTTTTTTACAAATTTTATTTGATTAAAGAAAAACTGATTTAGTTTTGTTATATTTTATTGCTGCTGCTTTGCACATACTTCGTTATAAATTTGACAATAGTAATACAATGGTAGTACACCTTGTGTGGCTGTGATTTGCATTTTGAACTAGAAGACGAACATGTTGATCCAGATTCTGGTTTAAGGGCTGTGGCGGAAAAAAACAAAACCACAAGAAGAAAAGGAAAAAATCAGGAACACAGTGCGTCAAGCAAGTAAAGCAGGCTCAGCCATGGGTAAATGCAAATTCAGTAAGAAGTGGTTGCAAGACGACATATATCGAAAATGTTTGGCTGAAACAATCCTGCGATTTGTATGTGGATTGATGTGCGATGTGAATTTCTGTGTCACAAAATATTAAAACTTGGGACAATTGGTTGTAAAGCATCCTCTCTTAAATGCTGAAAAACATAAGCGCTATGCTAGCACTTGAAAAAGTACTATGCTTATTGTGTTGTTCGCTGCTACTGTTAGTTTGACCGTACATAATAGAGATTATCTACTCTGAATATGTCTATATGTATTTGTGAATAATAGTCATATTACCCACCTCTAGCTGAAACCTTAACAGTAATCCTTTGAATCATGGGTAATCAGTGCAGATCTTTAAGTATAGATGTATGATGCCACATAAAGTGAATTGTAGTAAACATCTGCAAAGGTAAGGTGAAAATAAGTGCTGTATTTCTCAAGTGACAGAATGTAGAAACAAGCTAAATTGTCCAAAATATCAAAAAATATTTTTAAATTTTTGACTATGTGACTGTGACTGTGTGTGGACAGGGAAACATTGTGAGCTCTGCTGTTGTACTTTCTACCTGCTTGTGTTTTCTTTTGTGTTTATGTTCAGCTGTTAGAGATGTAGTGTTGTTTTTGTATTTGTTACTTATTGTAATGTTTGTAAACTCCTCAGCGGTTGTATTCAAACCTACCACAATCTTCATAGTTCTGTTTCTTCCCACTGTTGCAGAGCTCCCACCTGGCGATGATTGACACTCTAATGATGGCATATACGGTGGAGATGATCAGTGTGGAGAGAGTGCTGAACTGTGTACAGAAATACTCACCTTTCTTCCCTGAGGAAGACTTCCCTTATGATGCAGAAGAGGCTGTGACCACCTGGATTAACAAGGTGAGATAACTGACCCAGCCGCAGGTGGGATATGTTCATGTGTATCACAGGCGTAGGCGATACAGGGATGTAATTTAATATCATCAGTGATTGGCAAGTAACCTGATGACAATGTTTAAAAGGCAATATGCACCTTTTTGGGAAAAATAACTGACATAGAACTAGGAAGGACTAATTTACCTTTAAACAGCTTGTACATAATATTGAATAATATGCACACAATGTTTTATTATTTTTTACTATTAAAATGTTGGGTTATTATGGGGCATTAGTGAGTAAGTTTCTCACTGTCTCTGCTATGGGTTTCCTGTGGGTTTCCTGTTATTTACTGTACAGCAGTTTTCCTGTGGTTCAGTGGTTAAATAATGAAAATAGACTTTAAATAAATACTACATGCTTTTCCTAGGGCATGTATGGCTGGGTTCCAGAGTGACTCTGCTATAACGACAGAAAACACCTCATTTTTTTGTGTGTGAAGTAGGTGGGCACGGCTTGGGAAATCACAGTCTGAGGTTTCTCCAGCAGGGAGCGCTGTTAGCACAAAAACCATACACCTGCACCTTAAGGAGCTCATGAATGCACATGTTTGCAGTAACAACTATTAAAACAACAGATGAAGTAGTTGAAAAGATGTTGGGTTATTCTGTATTATATTATTCAATATGTGATTTTTATTAAAGATTTTCATTTAGTTACTATGAAGTGAAATAAAACTGGACCGTCTAAATGATCTAAAAGAAAATGATGCAATTTCAAATTGAAGCAGACCAGAAGTAACACAGCACACTTTTTAATTGGCTTATTTGTTTGACCTGTGCCATCCATAAATAGTCAGCTCCATAATTATTGCCAGCTTTGGTAAAGATGTATAAAAAAAGTCATAAAAAATGTTGGTAGCACTTTACAGATCAGTGGGTAAAGATGTGGTAATAATATGGTAACAAGTTGAACTTACCCATCAATTACATGCTAACTTTGTAGTTTTTGTAATTTTATATTTCTAAAGTTCTTAATAAAATGGTTAAAATGATATGCTAATATTATTTGTTAGTACATAATAAGATAAACATGATGTATATAGATATGTCATGTGGGGGGGTTTCCATCACTGAACTCATTTTGGAGCCTTTTGGCAGATTTGTACTTTATAATAGAGTAACATTATTTTGTTAGCTGTTGTGTTTTTTGTTAACTGTTGTATTGTAACTTGTTGTATTTTCCAGCCCTAACTACACTTTAGGAAGGCCTACATGTAAAAGTAATAGAATAACCATGAGTGATTATAATACAGTAATTTTGTCATCATTTCAGTGCAGTTATCCTCATTAATCTGAGGAACTGATGTTGTTACTTGGTGTGACAGGCAGTAACTGAGAAACAAGATGGAAGGTGTAAGTTTACACCTCCAGTACCATTTAATTTTACTGTAATCACAGCCTGTAACTAATGTCATGTAATGTTACTAAAACTTCTGCATTGTTTTATGCTAATAAGCAGAGGTTGGAACAAGTCACTTAGTTTCAAGTTAGTTAAGTCAAGTCTTCACACTTTGAGTCAAGTCAAGCATAAACACAGTACCACACATTTGAGGACACTGCTGTGTATCAGATTTATGGCAGGAAACAAATCCATTCACATGAAAAGTAAGCGGCTGTGTAGAGTCCCGTCTGCAGTCAGACTCTCTGCGCTTCTTCCACTTTGGGTCTCGAGTCTTTCCAAGTCATGAGGCTCAAGTCAGAGTCATTGGTGTTCAAGTCTTTCTTGATTTTATTGAGTTTCAAGTTATCAAATTTATGACTCGAGTCGGACTCGAGTCCACACCTTTGGTAATAACTCTATTATTATATCACCCTATAATGATTTAAAAGAATTGCAGTGATATATTGATTAAGCAGACATTATACTTTAAGAGCTGGACATCTTTTCCTTAGTACAAATGCTAACTTATTATTTAGTAACAACCACTAAATTAGCATTTAATTGATAGGTTAGTACAACTTGTTACCATATTACCATATCTAACATATCTTGTAACGTGCCACCACAATGTCTTTGTGGTTAATTAGCTCAATATTAATGAACATATGAAAAAGATTTTGAGATGAAAATATGAGATGAATTTTTTTCCCCAAACAAAAACATGTCACAGTGATTGGCACCTATAGAAATTCTTGTGAAAAAATGTAACTGAAGAATGTTTCAATTTATATTTCATATTTCATTAAAAATTGTGGAAGAAAGCATTGGAGACAAGGGTCAGTACTCAGAGTTATTTTGTTTTACACAGCAAAAGCAAGTTGGTCAATTTTAGGGTGTGACCTTGCCTCATATCCAGTCAGTGATACATTGAAATGGTATAGTTTAATCCTAATTTATTACCTTTCACATTGTCAGTGCTATACCAAACCTCTTTTTTGCACATCATATTTTTGTCCATATTACACAGCATTAGTATTATGTAACTAAAATTCAATTCCTGCGCTGTTACTAAAGTTGCATCAATAATTAGATGAATTTAGGGCTGAATTAAAAATACAGCAGATTACCACTTAAAAGTTTGGACATGATTGAATGTTTTGTTTTTCATAATCTTACATCATAAAATCTGTTTGAAAGGCAAATAAGCAAAAATTTACATTTAATTCATGCATCTATATAAAATTTTTAAAAAGTAGTCCAAATCTTTATGAGTTATGAGGTCCCCATCATGTTCATGTGACTGGTCAATTTGTACTTTCAGAATGTGAAATCTTTCATCTCTCACTCAGTTTTCAAAAGTGTGTAGTTTTATGTAATAGCAGTAACTGTGTAGGATGGATCTTTTATTAGAATATGTAGCTGTTTCTGATTTTTTTAGTAAATGTACTACAAAAATGAATAATTCATATATTTGATAGAAATGTGGGAACACTATGTAGAGACATTGAGATTATATTTGAGACATTGTTAAATTTCATTGTTGAATGAAGAGTGGAGATTAGCATGGGTAGTTTTTTGAGTTTTATTGTATATTTATATTGCATTTATATTGCATTGTACATTATATGTTACTCTTCATTAGGGCTGTACTGTATTGATATAAAATGTGATGTTCGAAATTATCAGATGTCACAATGACAATATGAGAAGCGATAAATTGTTATTAAAATAATTTGCCAGTGACTGCATGTGACGCAAACACATACTTTTTTTTTTGGATGTGTAAATAGAAATCTATCTAACCTCTTTATTAAGCAAATAGCAAAATACGAAATTATAAAAGCACCATTCACTACTGTGCAAAATAAAAAGAAATGAAATACTAACAGCTACTAACATCAGAACTGCAAGCAGGGGTGGGAATCTCTAGGCTCCTCACGAGTGGATTCGATTGCGATTCAGAGGGCTGCGATGCAGTTATAAAACGATTATCGATGCATCTTGATGCATCTTTTTTTCTATACAGGATTCCTTTTTTCTCACTGTGTGAGGACTTGGTACTTTTAAAGCAAAGTATTTGTAATAATCCATAATGAATTTACTTCCTATATCTTTTATTAATAAATCAAACGGAAGCAATGAGGCAAGTGAACTAGAAGGCTCTCATTCACTGCTCTTGTTTGGAGCACATGAGACGCTGCTGCCACTCATCTGCAATAAAATGCGCAGTTACGGTGAAATAAGGTCCTGTGGTAATGGATGACCACACAGCACGTTACAGCTATTCTGCCAGTTTTCTTCAGTGATTCCATAACTTTGGTTTTGGTCTTGTTTACATTTTTTCACATTTGCAGCATTTAGCAGACGCTCTTATCCAGAGCAACTTACAAAAAGTACTTTGTCTATCTAGAGAAAGTATCTTTGCTAGTTACAAGTAGGTTAGAGAGAAAGCTTGTCAGCTCAGATACTGAAACAAAAGCCTGTGTTGATATCGAGAGAAAAAGGAACAGAATTAAACACAGTACAGTGCAATATATTTCACTGTTGTAGAGTGTTGTCGCTGTGTCAGTAAAATATCATCGAGACGGGACACTGTATCTCGGCTCTAAAGTGTGCAACATATGCAAAAGTACGGACGCAAACCCTTGGCAATGAAAGTTGTGACAGAATTTGTAATTCGCTTCCGAGGTGGGTGGAGGTTTTGACATTGCTTGCTCAATGGTCCTCTGGTGGGCAGCAAGCACAGATGGACGGAAAAGAGTGGAACCATGTAATATGGTTTCTTGTGTTTATCGTTTCCAAAATAGTTTAGTGTGACACAACTTGCATATAGTATTATATATTATATTATAGTATCTTATCCAGGTCCCTTTTCCCTTCATAGAAGCCAAAGTGCTTCCATATACTAGCTCAGGGGTTGGTAACATGTGGCTCTTGTACTGCCCTGTTGTGGCTCCACAGCAGAATTATATTTTTAGGTAAAAATAAAATAATCCTCTTTTGCAGTAAAATAAAGCTCTGCTGATCGTTCTAGCACAGTTTCAACAATAGATGGTCATAAACGCTGCTAATTCACCTCCCTATAACGCTGAAGGCTGGCGTGCAGACTGGTAAAACACTAAATAGTTGCGAAGCCAAAATCGGATTCTCTTTAGAATTCTCCCGTTCTACCTTAAATGGTGCTGCATTTACATTCTGGTGGAATGGGAAAATTCAAACAAAAAGCTGGTGAACAAGAAGCGACTTCAGTCTCATAAAACAGTCGAATGTTGAGAGACATTTTACAAGAAACTGATCTACTTTTGTGGAAAAGTTTCCTATCAGAGATGGGAGGAAAAAAGCTATAGCTGAGCTAAAGCTTAAGGCAGAGCACAGTAAGTCTGCGTTTTCGTTTATATTACTCTTTAAAACTATACTAGGACATTATCACATACTGAGACATATTGGACATTAAATGTTGTGGTTTGATTTTTGTTGAAAGGACAAAATGGCTCTTCTTAACATTTGGGTTGTGACTCCTGACCTAACCTAGCTTTTAATGCAGAGGGTGCTGGTCGGATTTCTCTCTCATCCATTTGTGTTTTTGTTATGTGCCGCCACAGACTGTCCAGGCGCTGCACTTCAGCACTTCCAAGTTCCGCCTTTTGTGTTCCAATTACGTTACATTAAGTTATCAATGAAAATTTAGAAAATCAATTTTTGACATTTGTGAATCGATTCAGAATCGTCCACGTCTGCATCGCAATGCATCGTAAGAATCGATTTTTCCCCCACCCCTAACTGCTAGCACATTTTATGTGCTGTAGTATATGAAATGTTTTTATAGGCTTGTAGTTCATGATGGAAGCACTCAGACATTTTGAATAATAACATGCAAAAATCATGCGTTTTATTCAACCTAAATAAATACTTTGATTGAACGATTATTTCAATCAGTGTAATTTTTAAGTTCAATAAAACTAGTTCATTTACTTGTTACCACATTAAGTAATTTTTTTAGGTAGATCAGACGAGCCACTTTTTTACAGTATATGTGTTTACACATAAAGCCCTGTTTGCTTCATTAACAAATTTTTTAACAGTTTTCCAAGTTCTGAACAGCCTGTTACATCATAAAAATATTGATCTTGCAGTTGGAATATAGTTAACCTGTTGCACAGTAGACATTGTTTTGCTGCAAGCTCCAAATATTGCATGAATAAATTAAAAATATATAGATTTGATAGACATGTAGCAATACTACACTAAAGAGAATCTGTAAAAAAACCGTAAAAACTCAAACAAAACCAATTAATTAATAGTAAAACTATGTTTTCTCTATAATAGTAAAAATCTGTAAATTGGTCATTTCATTTCTTAGAAATACTGGCTTTTACTGTAATTCAACAGTTTTGGTAGTTCAACTAATTATTCTGACACACAGTATTTTACCATAATAACAACAGTGACAACCATTAAAATAAATGCAAAAGAATGTGAAATAAAGGTGATCATTTGTTTTTGTGAAATTACATTTTATTTTTTATAAATGAACAGCAGCCGTGTTAAAATGCACTATATGTATGCTTTATTTATATGCATTTTTAACAGTATATATAGAATGTCTAAATTTGGACTTCAGTGCATTGGTAAATGAATTCTACAGATTAGCATGTGTAGATTTCAATTCAGTTTAGAGTTAGACTGTGTATTCATACTGTATTTTCTGCATAGAGTTTATGTGTGATTCTTCGTTAGGTTTTCATTGTTGCATCAAAACTGCATATTCTGAAAACAGAAAAACAAGTATCCAAAAAACATTTCTACTTAGTCCAAATAACAGCATCAATAATACATGTAAGTGAATATTACCACTTTGTGAGTCACAAAATAGCTATATGAAAAGATTTTGATAACATCTATTATACAAAAATGTGTGTCCTGCGAGAAGAGAATTAACAGTTGGTTGCCCTTATCTTGGCTTCTCCTAATTACCACAGATATCTTCTAGAACAAAGTTTACATTTTTCAACAATATATTTTACAGATTTCACATAGAAATTATTTTGATACATAGGAAAAAATAACTGGTGCAACAGATACAGGAAATTACAGATACAGGATTGTCTTGTTTGTGGTCTAGGTGTCTTCCATCAACAAGGTCCATTGATGGCAAGCCCTATATTGATGATCTAGCTATCTTCATATTGAATGTCATAAGCAAGCGGTCCATCAATGGCGAAGCCTACATAGAAGGACACTTTCTCTGTACTGTGCCCACTTCTTATTCCACCAAGGTAGGCAGGCCGGACAGGGATCTGTAGTTTGCCATACTCTGCGTACAGGTGTCTTTGCTCAATAATGCCATTTACTCTGAGAAGCTTCTCTTTAATAGCCTTTTCCTTGAAGATGTCTCCGCTCTGCCAGACAATATTTCGCCGTGAAATATCACTGAAACAACCATCAAGGACTGTTTTAGAAACCAACCTGTCTAATCCATCTGATTTTCCCAAATATAAGTGGGCAATTGAGGCTCTATTTCTCAAGATGGGAGAATGTTGCTTTTGAGATGCGTTTCTTATCTTTTCCACATATGTAGCTATTTGTTTATCAGGCTGTTTCTTTCCAGGCCATAGCAACAGCAGTGCAAGATAGTATGGTTCTGGATACTGATGCGATAGTCCAGCTTCTTGTAAAATTTCCTTCAAAAGATCAGTCAGTTCTTTTTCGGATTTTGCCACTTTTGATTTTGGTTGGATCAATTTCAGGATTATGTGTGTGAGCAAATGATTTGCCTTGTCCTGAAGAGATTTGTCATTACAGTTCTGATATATGAATGAATGTTTTTCAGCAATTGGTTCAATCATTTCTTTCCGGACCTCCAAAAGTTGGAGAATTCTTGGGAAGTAGTTTGCTCTGTTTTCTTTAAGGAACATCCTGCATTCTTCTATTTCCATGTTTAGGCTAAGTTTGGGTTTACTCAGTTTTTCCTCAGATGATGAACAGAACAAAGAGGTGTAGTTTTTATAATGATCAAAGATCCAGTTCCTGTTTTTGTTCTGCCTTTCTTTGTCAACCACACCTTTTTCTCTTGTGTAGGTGAAGAACACTTCAAGGAATTCAAAAGCTTTGTCCACACATGACTTCAAGGAAATAAGAAATTGCTCATAGTCCTTCAGAATAGCAACAAGTTTCTGATTGGCATCAGTTTGAGCGATGGGAATTGAGGACAGTGGCATCTTTCCTTCAAAAAATTGCTTAATGTACTCATTTTTCATGGCGTCTTTCTCCGGAAACAGTGGAAGCCTCCTCACAATGTCAAAGACTGTCATAGCAATGTCAATTTCACTCATGTATCCAGATATATTGTAGGTGTTTTGCTTCCAGTGACGTCTCTCCTCAATATCAGCATTGTCGTCTGTCTTTGCCAAGATTTGAGCTCTTTGGAAAGCTTTTATTGCAGCTTTAGCTAGCTCAAGAAATTCTTGCAAATCATCAGACGTGTAAAGTTTTTGCTTTTTGCTATCCATTTTATGTTTTAGTTCATTTCGTGAGACCTGTCCAACTGTGTCAACAGTGTACGAATTTTCTTTGATGGTTTTAGCATTGTTTGCCCATTCCTTTGCAAGGTCGAAGTTTCTTTCATTGAGATAGTAGTGCCTTGCTAAAGCTTGAGGGATTGTAAAGTCTTTGTAAAGTCTCTTTGATGCTTCAGTTAATATGTGTTGAATTTTTCTCGGTCCATCATTTCCAGATTTTATGTCTTCGATCAAAGGTGAAAACAGTGTGTCCTTCTCATCACCTTCTGTCTTGCGTTGCCGTGTGATCAGCATGCTCTTCAGTGACTGCAGTAGGTTATCTTTGCCTATTCCCCTTTCAAAAAATAGGTCAGTGTGCAGCATATTGAGGATTATGTCAGCTCTTGGGCTGTTGTGCCTTTCCTCTAATACCTTGACACACTCTGCTGCAATACGTTGATGAACAAAGCGAATAGCTTTGTACACTCCATATTCTTCAACTTGGAACTCAATTAACAAGCATGAATAAGGCTCCATTTTATTCATTACAAATTCTTTCCAGTGGGGTGTTCTTTTAATGCCAAGAAAATCCTCACAAAGTGACGCAGAAATGGATGAGTCTGCCACATATGTGTTAAGCAATGCCAAGATAGAGAGAAGTTGGGCTTCTCTGCTTCCAACATCAACATCTCTTAAGATGTTATATGCAACGTTTGCCACATATTCCTGATTGAAGTTACTTTTCATGATCATAAAACTGTAAAAGTTCTCAGGTTTGTCATGAATTTCTTGAAGTTCTTTAAGCTTTACTTCAAAAGCATTTTGTTCATCCTTTGATAAAGCAGCAGTGATGTACTGGCTGTCAGTTACACTGGTTTTGTGTTTTTCTTTTGGACTTTTTGAACGTACACAGTTCAAGATGACGACAAAAGCGTCCATTTCACCAATGATTTTCCTTAAACAGTGCTGCAACTCTTGTGTGTTCTCTGTTTCTTCTGAGTCTTCCACCAATAGCAAGACCGGGGTTTTACGTGAACGTTCTGTTTTTCCGCACTTTATGAGGTAATTAACTTGTTGTGCCACTTCTGTTTTTGAGATTGTGTTATCTCTTAGTACAGCACATCTGAATTCTTTTCTCAGATCCCACATCACATGCATGGCTAAAGTTGTGCCACCACATCCAGGGTGATGAAAAAGATTCACCATGACACATGTACTCGTGGGCTCATTGGTTTGGGATCTGATCATGTTCTTAACGTGGGTGTATTTGTCACGCTGAATGAAAGGTTTTGTTGGAGTTTTATCTGAAAAGTAAAAGTTCCACCATTTTACTTTGTCACCCCGGTAGAACTCTGCCTCTGTTTTGATCCTAAAGTTTACAAATTCTTCACTTTCCTCATCATACACATTTTCACACTGGTTCTGGCACAGAATTTCCAGAGCAGGCATTGAATCCTCATCTATTTGTGTTAGAACCACTGAGCTTCGATCAACAGAAGGTAAAAGTCTGTCTTTTGTCTGGTTGTGTTGTTCAAGAATTGTTCCATTGATTTCACTGAGTTCTAATTCATAGATGCTTTGACCATTGATGTCAAGTTCTGTTCTGATTTGGATGAAGTCTTTCCATTTCTGAAATGCACTGTCTGATGTGCATATGCTTATGATGTTCTGTGTTCCCCCGAGATTCTTGTAAAATGACATGAAAGTGTCAAAAATTGGATCATTCATGCCTTCAACAACAGAGAGAAGGAGGAAGATGACCAAGAATCTCCCTCTTGGAAGAGTATCTGGATGGCAGAGGAAGGAAATCATGTCTTGCACTTCACCAGCTCTGTGTATTAACCACTCACTAGGAGGCAGTGGTTTATCAGATTCTTTATCAATGTCCACTCTTCCATTGCAGAACACCCAGCTGGTTTGTTGGTACAAGTTTAGTTTTTGTATTAATGATCCTGGATCCCCATGAAACTGTCCTGGGCTGTGAAGATTTGCAATTCTGTTTTTTCTGTAGCTGTGACAGGATCCGTTTTTCACTGAATCTGGATCAAAGTCTAACACACAGAATAATTTCCATGCAGTCAGAAACTTTAGATTTTGCAGTTGGTCAGAGTGGCTTTTGTTCATTACAATTATGTAGTAATCATAATGATCCAGAGTACCACCTCCACATGTCAACAGATTCTTTAACTTTTCTCCCTGATTTAATTTTCTTTTGCTTTCAGGCTTCTTTTCTGCCTCCTTTCTCAATGTGTCTAGAACATTCAGGTCTGTATTCACTTTAGCTAATTCAACTTGCAAATCTCTGGGGTTCCCAATTTTACATATGTCTCTGGTTGCTGCTCCATCCCTAATAAACAGTGATTTTCCTTTACTTTTCCTCCATTCATTATCTTCATCCAGAGTCTGGGTATAATATATTTTACCATGAACTATGCTGTAACTTGGGACAACGTCCACCTCTATGACATATTTACTGGATGAGGTGCTGTCACTGCTCAACACTTCCACAAAGCGGGGTTGTCTGATACACCTTTTTGCATCGTCAGCTTTGTCTTCAAAGTACCGGTTGATGCCCTGATTAAAATGATCAATGATGACATCATTTTCATTGACACTGACCCCAACAATCTCACCATGGCAATATGTAGAGTCTTTGGAGTCAGCTACACCAAAATGGATGGTTCCGTTTGTCCTCCTATTCAGGCATCCTGCTGCAAACCGAAAAACCTCTTTGTTGATTTTTTTCTTCATGATGTCAATGTCTTCTGCTCTTCCCAGAAACTTGTATTCATGTACTGGGTCAACTAGATTACTTGGTCCTGACTCTGGTGGTAAAATATAGTTTTCAATATATCTGTGAGAGACAGACTGCTGGTCAAATGGATAGAAACTACATAGGTGTTTTGATTTTCCTTGCTTCTTCTCATCCATTTTCATTCCTGATACTTTTCCTGCATTTGAGACTTTTATTTTAAAGTCATCTCTTGATTCTGCTGTGGGGTATGTCTCTGGAACCTGAGCAGGGACATTACTAGAGGGAACATTTGCCTTACTTTCTTCCTTATTCTTTGCTCCTTGTGAAGTCATTGTTGTGCACATTTCTGTTGTCTGTGTTTTAGTTATATTGCACAGGGTTTCTTCCACTTGTAATTCTCTTGTTTGAATAGTTGTATTTCTCGAAGATGCTTCATTTGCACTGCTTCTGTGTGCTGAAGTTGTGCAAGTATCAGGATTGGATAAATCTTTCTGCATAGTTCCTTTATTTTTTTTTTTTTGTGATTTCTTTTGATTCTTTGATACAGCAGTTTTCATTGAGGATGTGTCTGGCTTTGTCTCGGTATGCTTTATTCTTGAACATCTAGGAGACTCTGAATGTGATTGTGTTTGAGAAATGTCTGTCCCTGACTTGTTCTCTTGAGACTTTACTAAATCCTCTAAGGTGTTTATGATTCTTACAGCTGGACCATGCTTAATTCCTAATTCACATAAATCTCGTGGTTTGTAGCAAACTAATTCTTTTCCTGATACTTCCTCCTCATACAGTTTGTCAGCCCATGTTTGGTCTACTTTGAGTTCTTCAGACAGCCATTGGTGAACTTGCTCTTTTGTCCACTCCTCAACTCTACGTGGAAACTCCATTTTCTGAGTCATTCTAGTTTCAAAGATCAGCATTCATTGTAGCGATGCATTTCGTGTTCTTCCCTATTAGACTTCAGCTGCAAAACAAATACATAATAAGATTTAAAAACATATTTTGACAGTAAAGCATTTTCTAAGTGGTCATTCAGCATGAGTTTTCTAGTGGCAAAACAAATTATTACTAAAAAAGAATTTTACAGCTTTTAGGTTTTAAGATTAAATAATCCCACAGGTTTTTTTATGGGTGCATATTTTCACACATGGTTATAGTGGCTCATTCAGTGTGAAGTGATTAAATCTGTGAAATTCTACGTTCTCTGAGTATTTATGTGTCATTTTAGTTTAAGGTGGTTTTGTTTTTTAAGTTGATGAAGGGATCATCAGCAATTTGCAGTAAGTGAGAGACAAAGATTGATTATTCTGCTGCAACCTGCCTGACTTTGATTCTGTCTGTACCCTTTAGTTCTGTGTTGGTTTTCTGGTTTTTGACTTTCTGCTTTGGTTTATCGAATGTGATTTTGGACAGCACCTTTGGCATTAAAGATCTTAACCCAAGCCTCTGCTGCAAGCGTCTGGTTCCGTCTGCCCTGTTACAGGATACTTAGCATGGAGGCTGTGCAGAAGGTCCTTAGCAGCCAAGGTCAAGGTAGGTGCTGGCAGATGTTACTCAGTCAGGCGGCAGTCTGAGCCAGCAACAAGCCAAGCAGCAGGTCCAGCTTTCTCAACTCCTGACTGGCATTAAAGATATCGCTGCTCAGCTGCAGGATCTCCCTGTTTCCGCAATAGCTCCTACATCTACTCAAGTTTCTGTTATTAACAACCCAGTTTGTGAGAGTCAGGTCCTTACATCCCCTGTGAGTAAACCAGACAAGTTTGGTGGGTCTCCTGATAAATGTAGAGCGTTTTTGTTACAGTGTTCTGCGTACTTCAGTAATTCCCCCACTAGTACTGATCAGGCTAAGATTGCTTTTGTTATTTCATGTCTGTTGGAGAAAGCTTTAGACTGGGCTACCGCAGGATGGTCTTGTTTGCAAGATCTGTCATATGAGCAATTTCTGAATGCCTTTTAAAACTGTGTTCGATCACTCTCATGAGGGACGATCCAACAGAGAACTTTTGTTCACACCCGTTGGAGTGGACCCAGTTTCCTTCATTCAGCTAGAGGCCAGCTTTCTTCACAAGGAACAATTGCCCTTTCTAGTCATTGACTCTTCTGAATTCTCTATGATTTTAGGTCTTCTCTGGCTACAAAGACACAATCTTCAAATCTCTTGGTCTAGCAAAGAGATCACAGCTTGGTCAGATTATTGCATTTCTAATTGTTTCACATCACCAGAACTTAGGGTTAGGTCTACCACAATAGAGAGCCCAGAAACCACTCACGCAACCCAAATTTCCCCTGAGTATTCTGATTTGCTGGAGGTTTGCAGCAAAAAGAATGCAACTAAACTTCCTCCGCACTGCCCCTACGATTGTTCCATTGATATTATAGAGGGTGCCTTTTTGCCTAAATCACAAGTGTACCCTTTAACCCAAGAGGAGGAGACAGCCATGGGGGAGTACATTGACGAGGCGTTAGCTCAAGGTTTTATTCGCCCATCCACATCGCCTGCTGCATCCGGATTTTTCTTTGTTAAAAAGAAGCATAGCGGCCTTAGACCTTGTATTGATCATTGTGCTCTCAGTAATATTACTAAGAAATTCGTTCCAACTATCCTTTGTCTTTAATACCTGTTGCTCTAGAACAACTTTGGGGTGCCCAGTATTTTACCAAATTAAACCTTCGCAGCGCATACAATGTGATACGTATTAAAGAAGCGGATGAGTGGAAGACTGCATTCATTACCACTAGGGGGCACTATGAGTACTCTGTCATGCCTTTTGGTCTTTCTAATGCTCTGTCAGTCTTTCAATCGTTCATTAACGACATCCCCCGGGACATGATAGGACAATTTGTGATAGCATACATTGATGACATCCTGATTTATTCACCAGTCTATGACACCCATGTACAACACATCTGCCAAGCCTTACACTGTCTGCTAGAAAGTGATTTCCTTCTTAGGGTATATAATTAGCTCCCAGGGAGTCTTGATGGATGACCAAAAGGTTGAGGCAGTAGTCAATTGGCCTATCCCCCCAACTGTAAAGGACCTTCAGAGATTTCTAGGTTTTGTTGATGGTCAGAGATTTCATCATTTTTATTGATGCTTCATTCGTAACGTAACAGTGCTATACCAGCACCTCTCACAACCCTTCTTAAGGGAGCATCCAAATAGCTAGTTTGGAACTCAGCAGCAGAAACCGTGTTCCATGATCTCAAAACAGCGTTCACTTCGGCACCCATCCTCAAACACCCAGATCCGTCCAAGCTATTTGTAGTGGAGGTAGATGCTTCTAAAACAGGTGTTGGTGCCATCCTATTACAGCGAAGTGGTAACCCCAAGAAGTTATACCCCATAGCATTCTATTCCCACAAACCGCCTTGCTGAACAGAACTATGCTATAGGAGATTGCGAACTCCTAGCAGTTAAGCTTGCCTTAGAGGAGTGCCGTCACTGGCTGGAGGGAGCTGCTAACCCTTTTCTAGTTCTTACTGATCATAAGAACTTAGAGTACCTCCGCTCTGCAAAATGGTTGAATCCTCGACAAGCTAGATGGTCTCTGTTTTCCAATCTGAGCCTGAATCTATTCTTCCCCCGTCTGTGGAAATAGCCTCCATTCGTTGGCAGGTTGACGATGAAATTACTAAAGCACTGGAACAAGTTAACATTCCTGACAACTGCCCACAGAATAAGGTTTATGTACCAGACCAATTTTGTGATCATTTGATTACCTGGGCTCATTCCTCCCTTAGCTCTGGTCATCCTGATGTACACTACAACTGTTATTAAACCGGTACTGGTGGGAAACACTTAAACAAGACATTCATAGGTTTGTGTCGTCTTGCTTTGTATGCGCTCAAACTAAAACACCTAAAAAAAAAAACTTCTGGCTGGCAAACTTATGCCTCTACGTGTGCCTGAACGCCCTTGGTCTCATATAGCTATAAACTTTGTTACAGATTTAGCCCCATCAAAAGGTTTTACTACCATTCTTACAATGGTGGATTGTTTTTCCAGAGGCGTTAAATTCATTCCATTCAAGTCCCTGCCCAATGCCTTAGATACAGCTCTAGCTCTGTATGAGCACATTTTTTGTAATTTTGTGATACTGTATCCCAGAGGATATAGTATCTGACAGAGGTTCACAATTTACATCTAGAGTCTGGTCAGGCTTCTGTGAGCATTTAGGGATGAATGCCAGTCTCATCTCAGGATATCGCCCACAATCTAATGGGCAATGCGAACGAGTAAACCAGGAGTTGAGAAAGTATTTTTGTGCATTTAGTAGCAGTAACCCTACAGACTGATTTAAGTTTCTAATCTGGGCTGAAATAGCACAAAACTCTTTAATATGCTCTGCAACACGTGTGACACCTTTTCAGTGCATTCTTGGTTATCAGCCTCCTCTCGCCCCCTGGACTGCTGGACCTTCGAACATCCCCGACGTCAATGACTGGATGAAGCGCAGCGAGGAAGTCTGGAAACAGACCCACTGCAATATCGAGTCAGCCCCTCAGCATGCGAAGCAGCAGGCAGACAGGCATTAGGCTACAGTTCCCAGAGCTCCTCGCTCCGTCATGTGACTCAGGACTCTAACCAATCCACCTGTAATCGCGCAGCTTCTCCAGACTACTGATCATTCACACCTGTTCTTTTTTTCACCTGTTTGTTAGTTTAGTATATAAGCCCGGCCTTTAGCTTAGGTTTCTTGTGAAGTAACGTCACACTGTGTGCATACGGAGTGTTTCTCTTGTGTTCCTGACTGATTTCCTGTGTATGACCGTTTTCTGTTTATGACTTTGATTCTGTCTGTACCCTTTAGTTCTGTTTCGGTTTTCTGGTTTTCGACTTTCTGCTTTGGTTTTTCGATTGTGATTTTGGGCAACGCCTTTGGCATTAAAGATCTTAACCCAAGCCTCTGCTGCAAGCGTCTGGTTCCGTCTACCACTGTTACAATTAATTATATCCTAAATACTGAGTTTTACTGCTTATAATGTCTCACTATACTGAGCTGAAATTTTAATTCAGAATGAACACAAATTATAATATTTAATTTGAGATCAATTAGTTTCATGTAAAAAAAAATCCTCAGCAGGTTATTTTATAGATCAGTGTACTTTGTCAAAGTGAAATTTGATCTTTCAAAAAAGGCAGTTGGTGGGCACCATTGGTGGGAGTTTCTATGTTGTTTTTGTTATAGAAATGAAAGAATTTAGAGAACAGAGAACAGTCTGATCTGATACACTCTTTTTGCTCTACCCTATTTGTTTTAATGCTACACAGAAGCTCACTATGACACTAAAATACAGATTTATGCTTTTTAAATTTTTAGATTTTTCAAGGCATCAGTCGTCCACACAAGCTGCCAATAAAGTCTTTCAAAGAAGAGAAAAAGAGTGGTTGTTTCTCCTCTCTACGTTTAGAGAAAGTTTTATATTTGCCCTTGGCAACGAGCAACAGTCTTTACTTGCTAGATTGGCTAAATGCAGTTTGACCAATTTGCATGAAGTTGAAATGTGATCAACTTTTTTTTGCTATGATACAGATTTTGACTGTTATGCACCACATGGGTCCAGCAGAACGCTCCATTAAAATTACTAGGATGCGACTTCGCAAAGTTGCAAGTGGACATATAACATAAGTTTAAGGGAACGTAGAGATTAGAGATTAGTACTAGTTATGAAGTGTTTTAGAACTATTTTAAAGCTACAAATGAATAGTATCAAAACAAATGTAAGAATAGCACATAAACCATAAAACTAAAATTTTGCAAAAATAATTTTGAAATCTACATTTATATTTAAGATGAAAGATTTAATGCTCTGAATTAACCTCTTCAAAGATGACATTTATTAAAGTTAAACTGATTAATCTAAAATGAAACATTGTTTTATTGTACTGTAGCTAAATAGGAAACTGCACATCGGACTGTCTACTAATTGTGTGGTCTTGTGAAGTGTTGCATAAAGGCTTTACATGCTGCATAACTCATGCACTTGGGCCCATATGCCGTTTCATGAACAACATGCTGGCGGAATGCATCTTATTTACATCTAAAACCTGAAGGACCCTCTGTGTTTAAGATGTGATTTAAAACCTGATGGGTCAAACTTGTGAAAAAGTTTTGCATAGTTGAATGAATGGAATGTTTTTTGCTTGAATTTGTATATGGAAATCCATGGCATGATCTGACAGGCCCTAAGTGAGCATGGAATAACCATTTCTTACTTTAGAAACACAAATATTTCTGTTAATATTTATGTTTTTTCTTTCACCTTATTTCTATTAAATTCCTAAAAATGCTATACAAACATATTTTGATAGTATGATTTTCTACACAATGCACATTTGATGAAAAAAAACCCACCTTAACATACTAAGATTCTGTAAAGTTGCCTGGTGCCTGTTCTCTCCACCCCTGATTTCTTCACATACTTGTTGTGGACACCTTGTAGGTGGAACAAGAATAACATATTAAAATGTTTTACTGCATAAATCTAAACACATATTAATTTGAATAGTACTGCAGCAAGCAATTATTTCACAAACCAAAATGCATTCACTCTTTTATTTCAGTTATTCAGTATTTTATTCAAGAAAACAGTATGAGAAACACACATATTTAAAGTGCCAGCAGATAGATATGGTGTGAAACCACTGCTGATATGATCTCAATTTTGTTTTTTGTTTTTTTTTTGGTCCTTTAAAATCTACAAAGCTGTACTTTTCTCTTCCTTTAGTATTAAATACTTCCACACAGTCGACATACCAACTCCCACATGTGCTTTGCTGAATAGCTAGTTACTAGTTGGCTACATATGTTAGAAAAGTGATATAAAAGTTATGTCGTTTTGATATTAGGAACTTAATATGTGGACAACGCCTTGTGTGGCCCTCAAATGGGTCGTTTAAATGTTATGGTTAGGGGTTATGGTGTGAGGCATAATAATGTAGATAATTATGGAACTGTTAAGGGCGGCCCTAATGTTAACCTTTTTATTGACATGTTTGCATGTTTGATGAGGCTGCAAATTCATGATGAGCATTACAATCACTTTACTAATTTGATTATGTCCAACTATCCATTCAAGTGAAATATGCAAGATTTGAAATATGTACGATTTGATTTACAGAGTGGGTATCCTGAAATATTGTGTAGGCTACAGTTTCTGATGGCTCCTATTAAGCCACATGCATTTTTCACATTGTCACATTATCTGCGTGGCAACCTGTCTTTTGTAGCTGAGAAAGAAATTTACCTTTCTATTTGGGTACATTGATCAATAAACAAATCTTTTGATGTAGACAATTTGCCCAGCTCACCTGAGCTATTCAAAAAAGATCTATTTAAACACTTAGTGCTCAGCACGTTTTAGTGAGCTTTTATGGATCATTTTAAATTCACAAAAAAGCAAAAGATTGCTGCACTAAATTTGTGGTCTTTTGCCTGTTTGCTTATTACACTTTGATTTTTGGATTTGTCTTAAATGACATAAATAGTAGTATGTAACTTAAAAAGATGCAAGTCAAATTAAAGATAATATTCTTCTGTTCAATTTCATAGTCATTGTTTCATCTGTGCTGGAACATAACCAAAATTGTTATTGCCCAATACAGTGTACTGTATATTGTGCTGTATATTGTCTGTGGACCTATGAAATGTAAAGATAGAGGTTTCCAAGCAAAGATTGTATCAGTTTTATGTTTAAATACACAATTTATTGCTTAGTTTGGATTTGTGTGTGTTTCACTACAGGTAAATGAGTACTTGAGAGAGATCCTGGCTCAAGAGCAGACAACAAGAAATACACTTGAGGTCAAACCTACAACCCAAAAGGTGAGTATCTGTGCAGTGACAACTTTACATGAGAAGTGCACAGTTAATATTTATATAATCAATTTTTATGATACACTTGGGCAGGTATTAGGCGACAAGTGATGGAGACTAATCGAAACTTAGACCACTGAATTAGATCTATGCTTAGACTCTGTTACCGGTGTCCGTTATGGTTATGTTTACTGGGATTAATGTGCAATGACTTGTGACCACTAGGGGCAATCGGGGAGCGACTTTTCAAATAAAATTTTGTGTGTTAATGTGAAGTGAATATATACACTGATATTATATAAAATAAGAAATTAAAGTATATATCTAATGCTTGTTTCACCTCACTGTATTTTAGTCTTAAAATGAATTATGTAAAACATACATAAAACCACATAAAATGTGTTAGTGTACTTTAGGGAAAAAATAAAATACAAGAAAATGTAAAACATTTAAACAGGTGCAGGAAGAAAACAATCCATTAGAAACTAAGACACAGAATAGGCTTTATGCACACAATTATATCAGGTAATTTTTTATTAATTTTGCAGGAGAGCAGGTGAGACCTTTCAAAGTTTTCACCAAAAACCAAAGATTTTTATTTACTTTTTGGGTGGTGAACAGACACACACTAACTGTAAAAAAGGAGAAGTGACTCATACCTGTAGTTCTTTCAGATGCATTCTCTTAGACATTTCAAGTATATCTGTTTATAAATGCAAGTAGGGAAAATTGAGTGACTCATTTATACCCTTAACAAGCTAAGAACAGCTCAGCCAGTTTGCATTGAAGTCCCCGTAGTTGTTGAATAATAAGCCTTAGTATGGAATAATCCTGGGATATTAAGGGGTTAATGCTTGCTGTTATTAATGTGGCTGACTACTTATCCAGTCAGTAGAGTGTCACAATGAAGGTACAAAAACACAATTTATTATCAGTTAAGAACTACCTTGACAAAGAGGTTGATTGCTCAAACCTCTTGAAAGCAGTGCAGCATAAAGAAAGCTTAAATAGCTTGAAAAGCAACACTACAGAAAATGATTTTATATCAAGTTCAAGACTTGGTTCACTGTGCGGACAAGAATTAAAAGTAGTCATAACTGAGCCAACTTTTCAGCTAGTTAACAAACCCTTTCTGAATTTCAGGGAATGAGTTAGAGCAGGAAAATCACTGAAAAATTTAGGATAGGCTACTCCAGGACCAGGGTTGGAAACCACTGCTGTACTTAACATGAGTGACATGTTTAAACCATTATATCAGAGTTCTCTCCAGTCTTGTTGTCTTGTATCTTAAATCGGTAGAAAATAACTAGAGTACATCAAGCATTGTTGAAACCTTTGTCACTCTAAAGACAATCTAGACACAATACCATGGAATGATAAACGGCTCTAAATGGTTCTACCAGCTGTGTTTAGTTCAAAGAAGCTATTTAATGGTGTTTTTGTACATTCTATAGCTTTTACAAGCCCAAATCATTTCTAACTACAATTACAATTAAAATTAACTAAAATTTTAGTTATGTTTGGACAATTATTTATAACAATCTTACAATAAATATCAAATGCATTTTTAAAATCTTACCTGTGTGTCAGAAAGTCTAGACGAAAATCAAAAACTTCTGATGCTGCTGTTACTGATGTAGCAGACTTGACAATCCAGTTGGTAGTGCGTCACAACGAATGCTGAAAATGCTTTTTATTACATTGCGATTGTGCCCTCACACAGAGTTTGTGCTCACCACATCCTGTGCACACCACATCCGATACACAGCACATTCTGGACACCTCTACCCCTGTTACCAACATAGCAACTACATTAGGAAATGCAAGTTCACAACAATCCTACTTAAATAATAAAGGTTATGTTTGCATTATGTTGAATACATTATCATTTGTTTCATATCTGATGCCTCAAGCCTCGTGTAAATGTTAAGAACGAGAGTGAACAATTCCAATTTGAAGCCTGAAAACACTTTATATTTATCTATATTTGTAAATGCAAGTTTGGAGGGAAAAAATATATTTATTGCTTGCTATTATTTATGTAGCTAACTGTAGATGCAGTTGGCAGTGGCTTGCACTGAAAATTGAACATGGTACTAATTATGGTGAGAGTTAAGAATTGCCCTGACTGCCCCGCCCTTATTACAGTACGTTCACAACATTTCCTGGACAAGCCACATCCTGAATGCTCCCATTGTAGCAACATTAAGAAAAGCAAGTTCTTATAGCCATAAAGTAATGTGTTTATATATGCATTGTAGTAAATACCTGTCTTTAATGCAAGAATCATTCTGTATTCAGTACAGTACTTTGATTTGATTGACTTACTGATGGTTTACTTGGCTTTATGATATTTTTATTGTATGGCAGATATTGAAAACAACTGCTACACATTACTTTAAGTTAGTCCGTGAAAGAAAAAGTCATGAGAAAATTGCTTCGATGTTTGGGTCCAGTTTAACAGCATGCCCTCTTCTCACTTCTGTTTTGTTTTTTTGTCATCTCATTTGTCTGATCTCATTCCGGAACCCCAGCCTTTGCTGCAGTTTGTGGTTTTGAATACTTTAACATGCATGCATGCAGGATGTAGTTCTGGAAACTTACAGGTCATTGTGCTCGTGAAAATGTGCTCACGTAAGGTTTTTATGAGATGAATGATGATCCCAAAATCTAGGCTTATCTTTAGAATGAGCACACTCCTGTAGTACCTCAATAGAAGAAAACCTTTCCAGATAAGAACAGAGGTGAGTTCCCTGTGATAAAATCGCAGTAACGCCCAGCCTCAAGTGGCTTATTGCTTTTATGAAACAGTGGCCAACATAAAATTTGATATCACCTTAACTTTATATGACCTTGTGTGTGAAGCTCGCTGTCGTGAAAATCCCTGTTTGCGCTGCACATCACATTGAAAATAATGTGTTTGAAAAAATGTAGCAGTGAGTTTTTCCATGTTTAGTGTGAAAGTAGCTTTAGGCTATAAGTTGAAATATTTCAGTGTTACCTAAGTGCAAATATTGAAAAAGTACATGTTTGTTGGAGCAGATTCACAGCTGTTGTTAAAGGGCTCAGTGTTTTGAGTTTCCAGCTCCAGTCCTGACTGCTTGTAGTCCTGCATAATGATACAGTGAGCATCATTAAATAAAGAATAAATACATTTTTTCTGTTATTTAAAAAAAATACACTCAGAATGTATTTTATGTATCTTTGACATTAAAAAACATTTTAATTTTTAACATATAATTTTTATATATATATATGCCATAACATGCAATATGGTAATATAGTAAACCATGATCGAAGGTTAATTATTACACTGGCACATGCCTACTCTTGTCACGAAAGGTAGGAGTAAAACATAGATTACTAAAATGTTTTGATCAGTTGATAAAATATAAAGCAAGTATGGTGTTCACTGTAAAAAAAAAAAAGGAAGTCATGGTACTCCGTTGAATTACAAATGGACTTGCATTACCCAACTAAAAGGATAGCTCGTCTGGTTATGTACTTTATTGAAAGGAGCACTGAAAGTAGGCATACACTGGGATCAAAACCATGACCTTTTGTCCAAACTGCTAGACCTCAGGCACTATCACTTTATCTCCTTCTGTGAGATTTTTTCATGTAACTGTTGTTACTCGTTCCTAATACAAAGTGCATTAATAATTCCCAGCTTAGCCACCAGTGTGCATGTGTGTGTTTGTGTACTGAAACATATTGAATGATTGAATAAATGGATCCCTTTCCCCATCTCTGTCACTTCAAAGGTGTCATGTAGTTGTATTTACATTTTTTTGCTCAGTTCAGATTGTAACCATATTGTTTTGTGACCCACGCAGACACGGTACAAGAGGGAGGACTCTAAAGTGCAGGCTGCACTCTGTCTCCCCCTGGTGGACAATCTATTGAAGGACAACACAGATGGCTGTGCTCTGGCTGCATTGCTGCATTTCTACTGCCCCAGTGCAGTTCCACTGGAAGGTACTGCAGAAATAGCACTATACATGGATGTAAATGAGTAGTAATCAGCAAATATGTACACTAACTGGCCACTTCATTAAGTACACCTCCTTGTCTCTACACTCATTGCCCATTTTATCAGCTCCACTTAGATGGACTATTGTAGTTCACTTTGACTGTAGTCCATATGTTTCTCTGTGTATTTTGTTAGCCCCCTTTTACCCTGTTCTTCAATAGTCAGGACCCCCAAAGGACCACCACAGAACAGGGATTATCTGGGTGAGTGGACACAAAAACTCCAGCAGCACTGTGTCTGATCCACTTGTACTAGCGCAACACACTCTAGCACGCCACCCCCACATCAGTGTCACTGCAGTGCTGAGAATGATCCACTGCCCAAATAATACCTGCCATGTGGTGGTCCTGTGGAGGTCCTGACATTGAAAAAACAGGGTGAAAGGGGGGGTTGACAGCTGAACTTTGTAGGTGTGGAACAACATCCCTGCAGATTTCTTTGTAAAACTAAAAGCGACAACTTGAAAAGAATGGGAGCTGTAAGAAAGGCAAATAGTGAACATATTAAATCCTGAAAATTTTGATATCATAATTAGTCACTAATATAATAATTAGTATAATAAGGCCACACTGATAATACGGGTGTGCTTTGGAAGGTGTAGCGGTGTAGAAACCGGGTGGTTCCTGCTTTTGGCCTAAAATGCCCTTCACTTAACACAAAAACAAAGCTAGTAATATGTCCTGATCCAGCTTTCTTGTAAACCATTCCTTTCTCACAACCCCAGTTTGAAAAACAGTGTCTCAACTTTGACGTGATGCAAATAAATTAAACACGTGAAATAAAAAAAGAATTCTGAATAACTGCTAAAAAGCCCTAACAGAAAACAATGTGCAAAATGACTAAGTGAGAACAATACTGTAAAAACTGTATGCAATAGTCAACAATGGGTAGGCTACATCATTGGCTACATCCTATTTTGAAAAAAACCTTGTTTGCTGTACCAGCACCAGAGACAACAGTGATTGTTTGAGTGAGTCCTTGTTGCCTAGGAAAGTCTGCAAAAATTGAATAGAAGGTGAATAAAATAATACCACATTTGTCTGACCATCTGAAACATTGCATTAGGTGTGCAAAGTTTAATCAGTTATACAGCTGTTGGAATAAATTTGACATCTGAATACATTGGACAAATAATTCATGTTCAGTGTGTAACAAACTTTACAGTTAGAGATGGGAGGGAAATGAAGGTGGTTGGAAACAAAAAGTGCTCTATAGAAGTAGCAACAGCAAAACCCTCTGGGGGAAAACAAAGACCAGATGGAAGCTTCATTACATCTGAATGAATCTTTTCAGTTCAGAAGGAGCTGAATCCGTTTAAGGATTCTTTTTGGAACACTTTCTTTGAAGGACAGTATTGTTCTGAGCAGGCCCTGTAATAATGTGGCTGGAAGACCGTAGAGTGACCGGTAGAGCAGTTTTTCGAACATAAACACTTCCCCACCCTGTAACTCCCAGCATTCGTCACCAGTTCTCTTCCTGCCAACCCTCACACACAAGTCTCTGTGTTTTCATTGGTCGCTTCCACGTTTTGTTTCCGCCCCGTGCAGATATCTGTGTGAAGGAGACGATGTCATTGGCCGACAGCCTCTACAACCTACAGCTGATCCAAGACTTCTGCAGGGAGAATCTGAACAACTGCTGCCACTTCACTCTGGAGGACATGCTCTATGCCTCCAGCTCCATTAAGGTAAGAGACAGAGAAATGCACACAAACACACATTTTACACAGCTGCGTAGTGGAGAGCTTATACTTATGAAAGGTAAAGTTTGAGTCTTGAAACCTGTTTGTGGACTGACTGTGTGGACTGGTAATGGATTGCTTCTTGATAGCAGTGTCTGAAGAGCTTTTTGCTGATGGCACATTCTTTAATATTTAGTGACAATGTTGGGTTAGGTGTTGGAGTTAAAAATAAGCAAATGCCATCTGATATTGTGAAAAATCTAGCTTGTGATATTTTGTCTTTTTATTTTGTACTTTTTTTCAGTTTGAGCATTGTAACATTTTGATTGCCAACTTAATGGGGAATTCCACCATTCTTCCATTTTTTTTTGTTTCTCCCTACTTCAATCAAAGTTATTATATGTTATGATAATAATGGTAAATAAAAAAAAACTGTTTGGGTACTATTTTGCCTTACAGTGCCCTGCTTATACCTATCTACAATGTATTTAAAAATGTGTTTTAGGCCAAACTGTATCTCAGAACTATTGTAAATCAGTGTATCAGGCATCAGGAAGTGTCTTCATAACCTTTTCATGTAATAACTTTCTGTGATGTAGCTTTCAGCAGCATTAAATGCTTAAAATGCCTCTGGTTCCTATCACCAACATTGTGAACAATTCGGACCTTCTGTAGAATGGAGCATTTCATACCAAACCAGTCTGAATGACTTTGTTTACATCTAAATGGTTACATTATGCATTTGAAAAGATGATGGAATTCACATTTAAGTGAAGGGTCTTCAATTTAACTGTAACTTTAAAAGCTAGTAGTTTTTAAAGATTATCTTCTAATGTCTTCTAATGTTTTCTAATGTCTAATTCTTCTGTGTTTTCTTATTAGCTCTGGGAGTGTGTGTTATCATCTGGTTGAGCCTGTGTGTATGTAGACATACAGAAAGTGCTGCTTGAAATGGACTTGGCAGAAGGTGTGTGTGCTGAAAGAAAGACTGATGTGGGAGGGAGAGATGACCAGCGCATTGTTTAAATCTGACTGTTGGAAGAACTGAATCATGAAAGTGTGTGTGCGTGTGTGTTTGTATGTGCGTTATATAGAGAGATGGTTGCTGTGAGAGCTGTGTGTGAACACATGTCTAGACTGTGTATGAAGATGTAATGAGCCTACAGTACAGTTTGGGGGGGCACTAATGTAACAGTTATTTTAGATGAATGCTTTTTGCATAGGTAGTATATGACTGCATTATATATAAACAGTTACTGTGGTCTTGTGTGTAGCGAACTTTCTAAACACATATGACAGTTTTTTGTCCATGTCTTGCCTTTTATTTCTTGAACCTACAGTAGCAGTCTTGCTAGAGTTGCGTAAAGCACACGTCATCTCAAACGTTTAGTGTGAGGTGGTCAGGATGGCTGTCTTGAGGTGTTTTTCTCGTCTTGACGCTGTGACAAAATCAACCATATTTAATATTACTGTAAGTTTTAAGTCTTGGCTCATGCAAATAGTGATGTGCCAGGGGTGCGCACTAGACAGAGAGAGAGGGAGAGACAGAGAGTGCAAGGGAGAAAATGCATGTGTGAGTGCCTGAAATCTCTGTAAAAAGGCAAATCTGCTCCACTTTAAAACAATAATCATATTAACTTAAAAATGTAAACTGACTGTTTTAATATTTCAAGTTCACTGAGCCTGTAACACTGATGTAAGGAAATGTGCATAGGACTTTAAGAATGGCATTACTGAGGAAGCCTGTTTTTTTCCCTTTTTCTTTTACACTGGTTTCTTATTTTGTTTGTTTGTTTTTATGGTTTAGTTTATAACACCCACTTAACAATGCTGAATCACTGCATGTTTTGTTAATGTGTAAATCTGTACGTTAAATAAAAAAAGTAATTGCACATTTTACAGGTTAATTAAAAACATTCTGGGTGATGATCTGCCAGAGTGTACAGTTCTACAGTGAACTGGGCTGAGCCCCAGATCTTTACATGCCCAGCCAACGTATCTTCCCATCTGTACCACTATAGAGTGGAAGGAATAGTGTTTATCTGCTTGTAAATTTCCAGCAGGTGCATAATTAGGAATAATCTAGTTGCGGTCTTGCAAATAGTGATACTGCAAGATTCTTAGTCTTTGCAAAATCATAGTCTGTGACCAAAAACTGTGACATTGTCTTTAGATGTGAGAGGGTGTCAGACTTTAGTCTTTCAGAAGTCTTTTCAAAGTCTTCTAGTGTATTGGTTAGCATAATCCATACAATCCACAAGCAAGCTCACACCTACAAGCAAGCTCTTAATTGAAACTGACGTTGCATGGACTTAAGTCTACTAATGAAATTCAGCACTATTATAAAACATCAGCTACTCAAACTGTAGGCTCCTAATGCCAAAGCAACTTAACTAACTTTGACATACCCTAATGGTTTGTGTGGGATATTTGGCTAGGTTGCCTGTCTTATGATGTCAGTTCAGTGTACAACAGGGTTAGCTTGCATTTGCATTTTCAGTCTTTATTTACCTTGTAATTTAGAGGATATAGTGACATTTAGGGGGAAAACTGTACCTACAGTAAAATGTATCAGGCCATTAATTTTATAACCTTACAGAAAAACTGCTTAGACACAGAGTTTCTTATTTGGGCATGTCAACTACATAATGATGTGTCCAAAGAGGTCTATTACATCACGGGTCTAGAATGAGTTTAGTTGATGTCTAGTAGCAGTTAAGTGAGACGTAGTGTGAACATTTTCAGTACAGTAACGAAAAAAAAAAGTTTGAAGTTTTAAAATTGTACATTTGATGCATTCCTTGGTCTCCTGTTTGCCATCTTTCATCAAAACCAAACCACTGTCACTAATAAAAACAAGATATCTGGGTGCATCCTGTGAGAGTAAAGTGGGTGGGGCAGGTTGAGCAGGGCTTATGATATGGACACACCCACGCTCCAATGACCAGGTCTTTTTTCCTGGGGTTGCATATAAATTTTAGAGGTTACCAGTCAATAATTGATTGAATCAATCAATCAATCAATCAAGAGCACTGTAAAAGTCTTAATTGAGGGATCAATAATTAGAGCTTTTTAGAATCAAGACATTTTTACACTTTTTACCGAAAAACTGAAAAAACATGGTATTTAAAAGCAATCAAACCTGAAAAAATGTGTATTGTTACAATAGTAATGATAAGACAAGGTGACTGGAGTTGTGGGACAGTCTTATAGGCTTATAGACCATACCAGTTTGCTTGATTTAAGAGTACTATGTGAGCAGTGATGAGCATTTTAAAATGATAAGTATATTTTTGAGTTTCACTTTAGCCACTGACATTTACTTACTAATACAAATTATTTTGGTGTTTCATTTCATTCTCTTCTGTTGCTCACATATCTTGGATATGAGTATAAGCATCTTGTTCTAGACCAAAAGAATCCCTAACAGAGAAAAACAGAGCCTAACAACCTGCAATTCCTCTGTTGATAGATGATTTTTGTGCTAAGATCTGAAGGTTCCTCAGTACTAAGTTTAAGATATTTTTTCACTTCTGTTCATGTTGCTTTTGATTGCTGTTTTTCCTTTTGATTGAAGTATTATTACTTTTACTTGAGTGTGAATGTGAAAAGTGGGTGCAGTCTTCTAAGCATAGAGAGTAAACAGAAGTGTTATGCAGTGTGAAACATAGAGTAGGGATGAATAACTCAGCCTTGGTCAGGGCAGAGGCTGTGTGTGTGTGCATTCTAATGGTGTCAGGATGTGCTGACTGCTTTGGTATTGTTTTGTAATCAGCTGATCTGAAAGAAGCCACGGATTGGAAGCTTTCAGACGGAGAGGGCATAAGATGAAAGAGGAGAAAGAAAGATGGGCAGAGAGATAGAGAGATACGGGGGAGATATTTGCTGTTCATTTTATATGTGCATGTGTTTGTGTTCTTGTTGCGACTGTTTCTGTCTTCTTACACCCAAATTTTTGTCTTGTTTGTTGTGGGCTGAGGGCAAAAAATCCAAAGCAATATACAAATAAAGAAGGTAGATAGGTTTCCATTTCTAAGCTTTTGAGTTTTACAACATACTCTATATTTTGTTACTAAAATACTCCAGAAATACAAAAGTAAAATTTAGTATAAAAAAGTTAAATGTAGTGTAAAAATAAAAACAACATAAGTACATAGGGCATTGTCATGCTAAATTGTGGCTGACCATTAAAATAAATATTATCACTTTATGGTACAAGAGTGCAAAAGTAAAGATAAAGATATAGAGGTGAAAAAATGCATCCATGCATCATAATGCATCCATATAAAGGTGGTGATTCAGCTCCGTCAGTTCATCAGTCACATTGTGTCATGGAGAATTGGCATTCTGTTTTTTTATGCCAGCTGATGCAGTTGTGTTATTTGAACACCAAAGCTTGCAAACAACCAGCAACAATCAACAGCTCCTCCTACCTCATTGCTCTGATGTCATGAATAAGCTGTGCAACATCAATGACACACTCACCATTTTGCTTCATTTGAAATTTGATCAAAATATTGTGGGAATATAGAGTCATGGACCCAGTATTGTGAAACAAATAGAAATGTGGGCTGAGGGTTCATTCACCCATAATCCCGATACTGATTTTAAGGGGCTAAAAAGTCTGATAACCAGTAATATTGGTCAGTTTAATTTTATATAATTTTTAATTTTATGTACCCCAATAGTTTTAGTTAAACAATACTTTACTGACAGATGGTTCAGTTGTCAACTGTGAATTGTGAAATATGACTGTCCTCAATGGTCACACTTTATAAACTCGAATGAACAGCAGAAACTCACAATCTTAATTCATATAAATGTTGTAGCAGGGTGGGTGAGTTGTCCAGAGTTCTTTACAGTTTTAATTACGCCTTTCTGACTTTATTATTGTTTTGTTTATTACATGTTATTCTCATCCTAAAGTTGAAGTTTTTTGTCATTTTCAGCTAATGATGTTATATGTTTAGATTCACCAGTTCAGACTGTATTGCCATTGTGTCATTAAACAGGGAGTGTTTATAATTAGGTTCTGCAGTGGCACGATCCATCATTTTGCCCTGTCATCAGGAGGTCACGAGTTCAAATCCCAGTAATAATGCAAAAAACGTCCAACCAACTTAATTATATGCAACGTTTTTGGCAATGAAACTGCAGATTGTCAATATCAATTAATATTATTGGCCAGACGATATAACAGTTGGGCTCTGTCAGTTACAACAGGCATGTCAAACCAGGGAACTTCTGGGCCAAATTGCTGTGGAGATTAACATTAACCCTCATCTAACACTCTGAATTCTGTTCAAGAAGGCCTTGCTAATTAGCTGATTAGCTGAGTCAGGTGTATTTAGTGAGGCAGTATGCTGATGTCTGCAGTGTTTTGGCCTGTGAGGACTGGAGCCATGTGAATTACAAGAACATTCCATAAAATATACGCTTTTTTTTGGCCAAAATAACTTTTTGAAATGTTTTCGTATATAAAGGTTAGAGGAGTAACAGTTATAGTGTATTGTGATGCGAAACTGTGACAATGTGCATCATAGGAATCTGACAATGCATTATAAAGAATGAACATTCTGTTAAACACACTCTTGAAGAAGTTGGTTCTTCATGGGTTCTTTAGTAAAGAAAATGGTTTTATATAGCCAACGAACCTTTTAACTATATACAACC